TGTCACACTATGTGGCGTGGTACTGTATCTGAGTAAGAAATTTGCTAGTCTGTGTTTCATTGATTTTCCTACAGTTCCTTGAATTACCTGCTTGGAAAGTGCTTCCTTTACAATTCTAACTGATCTCTCAGCTGCACCATTAGAGGCAGGATGATAGGGTGGGGTCAGTACATGCTTTACACCGTTGAATCTCATGAAGTTTTTAAACTCTGATGATTGGAATGGAGGACCATTGTCGGAAACTACCTCTTCTGGTATTCCATGTTCAGCAAATATTAATCTTAATTCATCAGTGGTGCTACCAGCATTAGTACTGTACATGTGCTTAACATCAATCCACTTTGAATGACTATCAATTAATACAAGAAATTTGTCTGTTCCCTGATCACAGAAGTCAATGTGTACTCTTTGGAAGGGACGGGTAGGCCATTTCCAGGTTTTCAAAGGTGTGCTGGGTGGCATACTCCTAACATTCTGACAAACAGAGCACTCACGTACCATCATTTCTATTTCACCATCCAGTTTAGGCCACCACACAAAACTTCTGGCCCGTGCTTTCATAGCACATATACCTGGATGTTCAAAATTCAGTTCATTCAAAATTTGCCCTCTAAAACACTGTGGAATTAACACCCTTATACCCCACAACACACATCCCTGTTCTACTGATAATTGACTTCTCCTTAAATGATACGGTTGAAAGTCTAAGGATGGACAAATCTCTGGCCATCCATTTAGTGTATACTCCAGGACTCTTCCTAATACAACATCTTTCCTAGTTTCATGAGCAATCATTCCGGAGGTAACTGGAAAATCTTCTGCTATCGTGGCTACAGCATAAACCTTAGGCTCTACTCCATCATTTGATCCATTACCTGGCAACCTTGACAAAGCATCTGCATTGGAATGATCATCTGAACGTCTGTACTGTATCTCATAGTCATATGCCGACAATATCAAAGCCCATCTCTGCATTCTTGCTGCAGCAAGTGTAGGAACAGGTGATTTAGGACCCAAAATTGCCAAGAGAGGCTTGTGATCAGTTATCAAAAACAAAATTCCTCCCATATAGATACTGGTGAAATTTCTTTACTCCAAATATGATAGACAAAGCCTCTTTCTCTATTTGTGCATAATTTTTCTCGCTTTGGGTAAGAGTTCTCGAGGCATATGCAATGGGTCTTTCTTCACCGTTATCCATTATGTGACTTATGACAGCACCTAATCCATAGCCCGATGCATCACAAGCAAGCTTTAGTGTTCTACTGGTATCATAGTGGACCAAAACATCAGTACTAGACAGAGCAGCTTTACAATCTTCAAATGACTTCTGAGTTGCACTGTTCCATTTCCATGGTATCCCTTTCTTTAATAGTTCATGCAGAGGGGCTAAAACTGATGAAAGTCCACTCAAGAACCTTGAATAATACTGTATCATACCTAGGAAAGCTTTCAATTCACTGACATTTTTTGGAGCAGGTAAATTTACTATGGCTCCTACTTTATCTTCTACAGGTCTCAGCCCTTCTGCATTCACTTTGTAGCCAAGATAAGTTACTTCTTTAGCTAGGAATGAACATTTGCTCTTGTTGAGCCTGACATTGTGTGCCAACAATCTTTCGAATACTGTGGCTAGGGTTTTGACATGATTTTGGATGTCACTGTCAACAATAAGGACATCATCCTGAAAACATAACACATTGGGAAGACCCACAAGAATTTTGTCCATGATGCACTGAAATAACTTTGGTGCACTTTTAACACCATAAGGCAACCTTTTGAACTTATACAATCCTTTATGAGTGTTGATGGTAAGGTACTGTTGACTTTCAGCATCAACAGAGACCTGAGCATATGCTTGGGACAAGTCTAACTTAGTGAAAATGGTTCCACCTGTTAGTGCAGCAAACAAATCTTGAGATGTGGGTAAGGGATATTGCTCATCCTCAACAGCTTGGTTAATGGTAACTTTATAATCACCACATAGTCTAACAGATTTATCAGCTTTAGGTACAATTACTATTGGAGCAGCCCAATTGCTCTTGGCGGTTTTCACAATAATTCCCTCACTCACAAGTCTGTCTAATTCCTTCTCAACCTCACCTTTCAATGCATAAGGAACAGGTCTGGACTTAGTTTATATGGGTGTAACATCTTTGTCAATGGTGATATGAGCTTCATAACCCTTTATACCACCCTGTCCCTTTACAAATAAAATCTTGTATTTTTCAAGCAATTTCTCAAGACCTAGAATACTGTTACACATTCTAACACTAAATATCTCCTTCCAGTCCATCTCAAGTTCACACAACCAGTTCTTACCTAACAAAGTTGGTCTATTCACATAACTAGCTATAATTAATGGCAACTTTAAATTCTGATTTTTGTAATTTACCTCACACTCTAATTTACCTTCTGTGTTCAAAATCTCTCCAGTATAAGTTCTCAACTTGACACCTGAGTCTTTTAAAGGCACATGCGCAAATAGGTTCTCATACATATCTTTACTCATTATGGAGAAATCAGCTGCAGTATCCATTTCCATGGTTACAGGTGTGTCATTAATACACAAGTCCACATTATACCTATGTTTAACTTTCTCTTCACGACTGGTGTAAATAGTAAACACATGGGCACTCTCATCATTATCAGATCCAAAATTACTAACACACTCATGAATACTGTTTTTCATTTCCTTCTCTCCACCTTCTACGGCATATACTCTACCTTTATCACTTCTACAGGCAGGAGCAATATGTCCAATACGTTGACAATTGTAACATTTTGAATTCTTGAACTTACACTGAAAGCTTTCATGTTTCCCTCGGCACCTCTTACATTTTAAATCAGCATGTGTTCCTTGTTTTGTGGCATACTTATTCCTTTTAGCTACAGTTACTTTACACACTGAGCCACTACTGCCAACTGTTTCACTACCAGCATTGGAAACAAATTCTCTGGTGTTTTTCTTGGCCAATTCCATGCTTGTAGCTATCTGACATGCACTTTCAAAAGTTAAGTTAGTGGTGTTCATTAACTTATTCTGTATTTTTTCATAATTCAGGCCTATTACAAACCTGTCTCTTAGAGCTCGGTTCAAGACCTGTCCAAAGTTACAGTGAAAGAATAACTTCTTCAAAGCTACTATATAATTACTCACTGATTCATCTTTACCTCTATCTCTGGTGCCAAATCTGTAACTTTCAGCGATCTCAAGTGGAGCAGGATCAAAATTTTGCTTCAGAATCTTGGTAATCTGAATCAGTGAGGAGTCTTTGGGTTTGTCTGGAGTAAGCAGATTGACCAGAGTAGAATAAACATTAGCTCCTACCTCTGTCAAAAAGATTGCTTTCCTTTTCTCTTCGAGGACTCTTTTTCTCTTAGCATCCCCACCGTCGTCCATTAATTCATTTGCCAGAAAGAAGAAGTCCATTCTCTCACAATATGATGTGAATCCTTCCTTGTCTGCATCATACTCCCCCACTCGTCCGATGTATCCACTGACGCCAGCCTTGGTTGCTCTCTTCACTTAAATTCTCCAGGTTCAGAGTAGCCTTCCCTTCAGTGGTCACTATCCTCTCTTCAAGGACTTCACCAACACTTTGTGAATCCCATCCTCGTCGCCAGTGTAGTATCTTGCGTTATTTAATGGGAGAATGACGAGTCACATGGTCTGTCTGGCTGGTCATTTATTCTCTGTTCTTGGTTACCGCGTGCCTAACACATTTCGTGTTTACACAAGCCTAAACACTTTCTGACTTTGGTAAGAAGTATCGTAATATATAATATATATATACAGTATTCAATAAAGGCAGCATATATACATACATATATATAACACCCTTTATAGGTGTTGTTCCTTTCACTACATCACGAATACGTTCCTTGTCCTACAGAATAGTGGATATAGTCGAGTGTGAGAAACCTAGGTCACTTGAGATTGTTGCTACAGTTTTTCCATTCTCATGCTGTGTTATTATCTTCATTTTCATCTCAAAAGTAATTGCCTGTCTCCTTTTCTTTGGAGCACCACCAGCACTCTCACTTTTATGCTTTCCAGTCAGTATAAAGTCAATTAAATACGATAATAACGAAAGTTCACAGTTCGATCAGTATAGGATACGATAGCCAAACACCAACTAAGCGCTGTACTGAGTGAGTGTACCCACGCAGCGACCCAAGCCGCGCCACGCTCTCGCCCGGGACAGAAACGTTTCGGTATAGAAAATGCGCGCATCATTTGAAAATATTTTTGGTCACGACTGCCGCGGTTGTATGTCCTGACGGTCGTAAGGTCAGAGCAGGTCGTTAGTACCGATGGACGTAAGTCCAAGCAGTCGTAAGTTGGGGACTACCTGTATGTTAAATTTTTGGCACACCTGACTCATGTCCTCAATCCATACACTTAACTCCTTCTCCATACCCTTATCACATATCTGATGTGTATCTTTAGTACTGTGTGGTGCACTGTTAACAGCACTACTTCTAATATCCTTGCCTTTCATCTTTATGGAATGAATGGTTGACTCATTCACTTCAAACGCACGGCCAACCGCTGACACACTCCTGCCGCTATCAAGTTTATCTAAAACTAAAATTTTCTGCGTCAGAGTAATGACATTCTTCATTCTCTTTGCACCAGATGCACTACCAACAGTTAATGGCCTTTTAGGAGCCACAACAGTTATAATTAATGTTAGATTTGCTCTCAGATGAGACTGGCGGGTGATGTGGGAGAACTCAGACGAGACTGGCAGAAGTGAATGGCCACGCAGGATGCAGCATGATGCCATGATGTCATATCATGGTGGATGCCTGTGGTTTCTAAAATGAGCACCTTACTTTTTAATGTTTTTTAAAAGAGGTCGTTAAGGGAAGTCGAATTTGCAAGAGTTGAACTCGCATATGTTGAGGTACTGGTGTATGAATTTTACTGAATAAATTATATCCTCATTATTATAATGCTAACTTGTTCTGACTGACTCTATTTTGTATTACAGTGGAAGGAGGAATTGGAGAAGAATGAAGTGCTAGTATTTGTTGCCCAGATCTTTCTTGACCTAGTTCTTCACGCCAGCTTGCCGCTGTCAGCCGTTAACCTGCTCATCATGGACGAGTGTCACCATACCGTAGGCAACCACCCCATGCGAGAGATCATGAGGCAGTATGAAGGCTTGAAGATACAGTCCCCAGAGAAATGTCCAAGGATCATGGGGCTAACAGCTTGTGTCATTCACCGTAAGTGTAGGAAGTCGGAAGTGATGGATACCATGAAGAAACTGGAAGCTGCGATGGACTCTGCTTTAGTGACCACTACTTATCAGAAGGAAGTTGTGAAGTGCAGTACTGCTCCAAAGGAAAAAGTAATTTGCTATGGAACTGATGAAATTTCTGAATATCAAGAATGTATTATTGCACAGTTAACAGGAATCTCTGAGGAAGTAAAGGAACGCGATGATATACAAATCAAGTACAAGAAATTGGTGAGGAAGAAAATAATTAATATTATAAACATCATGACAACGCTAGGAGATTGGTGTGTGGCCCGGGCAATTAAATATGAGATGGATCATTTTGAAGATATTAAGAAGATTGAGGATGTGCCAGTTGTTCGGGAGTTGATGACATTGCTCCAAAACAGGTTACAAGAAATTTATTATATTTGTGTGGTTGAGGAGACAAAGATGGAGAACCCCATTGATTATGTTACCAAGAAAGTTAAGAGGTTATTTGAAATATTTCGTGCATGTAATAGAGAAGTATACGGAATAATTTTTGTTGAGAGGAGAAACACTGCCAAGATCCTATATGACCTGCTGTTGAATGTTGCTGATACTAATGAGGACCTTTCATTTGTAAAGCCTTTGTACGTCGTTGGTTCAAATGCTTATACCGGCACTGACATCCGATTGGCTGAACTAGAACTTCGCAAACAGAGGGAAACATTGGACAAGTTTTGTAATGGAGAATGTAATTTCATTGTTTCAACCAGCGTCTTAGAAGAAGGTGTGGATATTAGAAAATGCAACATAGTCATTCGTTTTGATGAGCCAGCAAATTATCGTGCATTTGTACAATCAAAAGGGAGAGCCCGTGCATTACCATCTAGGTACTTGCTCATGGTGAACGAAACAAAACTGCAAGAGCTGAAAGACTCAATTGATTTATACAAGGAAATTGAAAAAGCTTTAACTCTTCTCTGCCATGATCGCCAGTTGCCAACATTAGAAGAAATCCGTAAGCATTACGTAGAGGATGAATATATTGAGCCATACTTACCATATGGACCTGATGGTGCCAAAGTGACCTTAAATTCTGCTATATCACTAATTAATGTCTATTGTGGGAAGTTACCTCAGGATAAGTTTACAGAATTGACAGCAGAAGTTGTTTATACAAAATATGAGGAAGGAGTGAAGGCACAGATAAAACTACCAATGAATGCCCCCCTGAAGGTTCCTGTGATTGGTGACTGCATGGTAAACAAAGAACTTGCCAAAAAGAGTGCTGCCATATACCTTTGTAAAAAATTGCATCATATGGGAGAATTAGATAATCGGTTACGACCAGCTGAGGTATTGGATGATAGCATACTGGAAGGTTTAGTGGAAGTTCCACCTGAAGAAGCCTTAAAAGACGATGCACCTGACCCTGGTACAAAGAGCCGACGTCAAGTGTACACCAAGGAGGTGTGCTCAGCCTTTACCCATAATTATGAAGGAAACTATCAGCTTTATTCAATTGTTATTCATCCCAAAAGTAATCCACCAAAAAATCTGATTATTAATTCTGATAAAATGGATTCTACAATTGGATTCATATGTAAGGGAAACTTGATACACTGTCCATTCCCACTATATTTTTCCAAATGGGGAGAAGTGGAAGTTAGAGTTGAGCATATAAAGGAACTGACAAACCTTGGTCTAGAGCTATTTTATAAAATTGAACACTTTCACAAACTCACTGTTGAGATGCTTTTACATATCAATACTTCTCTGTTTGAATTTAGCTCTAGGGATGCAGGTGTATTTATTGTGCCAGTAAAAGAAAAAAACATTAACTTAGACATTCTAAATCGGATAATGCCATTAGCATCTTTAAGGTCACCTGTGGTGAACACAACAGACTCACAGAGTTTCTACTTTGAGAGGTCTAATTTTGAGGATGCCATAATTTACCCTTTGTATGGACCCCAACCTGACCAACTGTTTTATGTTACACAAATCATGGATGACACAAATCCACATTCAGAATTTCCTGATTCAAAGAAACAATACAGTAGTTATGCAGAGTACTTCCTCCTGAAGTACGAATTGAAAATAACTAATATACAACAGCCTTTGATCGCTGCAAAGCATTTACCAAAGGAACTCAAATACTTGGAAATACCAGCAGTTCCTTTGAAAAATAACACAGGAAAGGTTGGACGGGATCCCCCCAGATTTCTTCCCGAGTTTTGTGGTGTATTACCTTTAAAAGCATCCCTGTGGTGGCAGATTATGTGTGTCCCTTCCATCTTCTACCGTCTTAATAGTTTAAACTTGGCTCATCAAGTGAATACTCTGATGAACATTGCAAAATACCAAATCAAAGCTGCAGAGCACACTACTGTGAATTTTGGTTGGCCTGAAGAGTCTGTTAACAGATTATTGGGTCCTTTTGGCAACAATTTGGCAGCTTGTTTGTTAAGAAAGAAGAGTAACTTTATCCATCCTTTCATGTTAGTACATGCTCTCACACTTCGTGGAGCTCATGATGGCTTTGATATGGAAAGACTTGAAGTTCTTGGTGACTCTTTCCTTAAGTACATTACTGCAGAATATTTATTTTTGAAGGACAATAAAGATCATGAGGGAAGACTTTCACTGCGTCGTTGCAAACTTGTTTGTAACAGAACTTTATATTCTTTGGCAAAGCAAAGAAAATTGCCAGAGAAAATCCAGGCGATTAATTTGTCACCTCAGACAAATGGTTTCTTGCCAGGATTCTCTGTTAAACCCATGATGGATCGGAAGCTGAGAAGTTGGAACATTCCCCATAACAAATGGTCACAACTCCCTCTCCTCGATCACCCAGAAGACATACTAGAGGTATATATGTGTTAAACAGTCGTATTATAAGCTCTTTGTTTCTGTATTTTTATCTTTTCACTCATCTCATAATATTAGGATGATTGATATATGTACAAACAAAGTAAATACAGTATATAAGTAAATTGTAGCAGTGTGTGGTAACAGTGAGATATATGTGAGGGTGAGTGATTGAGGGGTGGGGAGGGGATGAAAGACTGAAGTGGCAGTGAAGATATGATGTAGGATGACCTCTGCTACACTTGATCAAATAGCCATAGTAGGCATATGGAGATGGGGAATAAACACATGATATGACAGAAACAGAAATAGGATTTAAGTGACAAAACACTAAAGATATAGGAATATTAACAACAAGAAGAGAAATACCGGGGTACCTCCCTCACTGTGCTGCCAGACCACATACAGCTAAATAAGTTTAATAGTGTTCTTCTTTCAGTTACTTTAATTTAGCAATATAGCCTTAATTATTGAAGCTCCTCCTAAATTCTGTGTCAATTGTATTTTGGAGAGAGATATAAGTCATGTGTATCAAGCTACCAACACAGTGAAAAAGCCTTCCAAATTATTACTGAACAGGAACCTCATATCACCAGGGTTGTGTGCTCCTTGAAGCTCATTAAGTTTTGAGATAGCTGTCCATGGACCTTGAAAAGTAGCCACTACTCCTTGAGAATAGAGTCTTATGTTCTTGAAAAAACAGTTTAACCAGAATATAATTTTGCATTTGTTACAGGAAGTTAGCAATTTGTGGATAAGAGATGCAGAAGATGATGTAAGCTACAAAGAAAGGGGGATCATGTTACAACCCTTGGACACATACAGAGTTATCGGATAAGAGTATAGCAGATTGTGTTGAGGCGTTGATTGGGGCTTATTTACTTATTGGTGGTAGTGAGGCAGCCATCAACTTTCTTCACAGGAGGGCTTGGTGTATATAATGTAAGTATTTGTTTTTATTTCTCCTGACTGTATGGAGAAAAACATGTACAGTCGGGTCAAAAGTTTACTCACTCCCAAACTGGGAAGCAGCATTGACTCCAAATGAAATAAAACAGCACATCTGCACCAGACCAGAGTCAGGATAATTCACAGAATCCTTCCCATGACTGTTTCACCACAGGGAGTGAACTTTTGTCCTTGACTGTACAATATTTTGTAATTGCTGGTTGTGTAAATGGTCTAAGACCTTATCGATGTACCACCAGGATAGTCAGCGATGTCTGAATGCTGTACGATGTGGTTGGATGGTCGCATGTGTGTGCAGAAGATGCTTGAACTTTACAGTACAGTGCTCTCGGTTATGAACACAATTCGTTCTAGAAAGTTGGGTTAGCAAACCATTGTTTCAATGGGATTTTGGGTAATTGGTTCCAGCTCACCGAAAATTACATACAAACTAAAAATAAATGCAGTAAAGTACACTTACTTTGAGGTGTGCATGTAGAAGGCTCCTGGTTGATGATGATGATGATGATGATGGGAATTAGAATGGGACCCATAAAATTTTAGTTCACTTGGTGTAATTCAAGTTATTTTTTGAATCAACACTGCACTGCATTATATACAGTATTGTCAATATGTAAAATATATTTCAAAATGACCAATAATTTGACTGGAAACACAGAAAAAATGCATTTTTATGTTGAAGAGTCTCAAACAAGATGTTCCTTCCTCTGAACTGGTAAACAAACTGGCATAGCTTGGTGTGTTGAGTGGCTGTTTGGCGGCATAAAACTAGTTTCCTGTACTTCAATTATGTTCAATAATTGTTAAAATAACGAAAAAAATTTAAATAAACTTTTAAAATTATTGAATAGTACAACCTTCTTGATATTTACTAAAATGGTAAAATTTAAGCCCTAAAACCGATTACTGTATTGGCGGACTAATACTACACTGGTGGAACCAAATGCAGGCGACTATGTTGGAAAAAAAATTAGTGAAATTCGCTAACGAGGTTGCGTTAACAAGTAAGAAATCTTGGTAAATAATGCGTACTGGCGCTCGTTAACCGAGGGTACTGTTCTGTGACCAAGACTAACAGCTGGTGAGCAACATGGCAGAAAAAAATTAAATGAAATTCGTTCCAAAATTTTTTCGTTAACCGAAGTGAAGAATCTTATGGAAGGTAATTCGTAAACCGAAATTTCGTTAACCGAGGGATCACTGTGTTAATATTTTCCATTAAATGTAAATATAAAGTAATAATTGTTACATTCAATTTTCATATGTACCAGGAAATAAACAAGCAGTTGATTGTTCAATGTGAGAATGTGAGGGGTGGAACTGCTCTACGATTTACGTCAGTAATTTTTTTTATTACTGTCATTTTATTTATTTTTTTATTTTTTGCCATCCATTGCCAACCAAAATGAAGTCAGTGTCTGTTGCTCAAATGGTGTTTTTTAGAAGCTATCTGCAGTGAGCTCCATGAACCTTTTTTGAATGTGAGAGGTTATTTGACATGTGGTGAGATTGATGAAAAAGTTCCTATATCCACTTAAACTGCCATCTGGTTAGAAGTATCCCTGCTTATTTTCTGCTCCTGCTAGGTACCACCTGTGGTGCATGTACCACTATTGATTACTTTGGATAATGAAGAAGCATTAAACTTTGCTTTAAACCTGTTGACTACTTACTACAGTACACAAACCAGAAATGTAAGTTCCACTAATCCAGTTAATTTCTTACTCTCAGAAAGAATCTTTACTGAAGTTAAAGCAGTACCTTCACCTGTGATGATTGAAACTCTGGGCAAGTGATGAGATCTCGAGACTCTACAAGAAAGCTTGTCTTGATCGTTTGGAAGATAAGATTGACTACAAATTCAATGATAGAAGTTTCATTGTACAAGCAGTAACCCACAGCTCATACTCTCAGAATAAGGTAAGGCAATACTGTATATGGCAATGCTTTGTCACTAAACACACGCACACAATGCAACACACACACACCACACCACACACACACCACACCACACACACACCACACCACCACACACACACCACACACACCACACCACACAACACACAACACACCACACACCACCCCACCACACACACCACACACACCACACACCACACCACACACACCACACACACCACACCACACACACACCACACCACACACACACCACACACACACACACACACCACACAACCACACCACACAACAACACACCACACACACCACACACCACACACACACACACACAACCACACACCCACACACACCAACCACACACACCACACCTGACACACCACCACCTGACCACCTGACCACACCACACAAACCCCACACCACCACACCACACACAACCTACACACAACCACACACACCCCACCCACACACAACACACCTACACCACACACACACAACACCTGACACACACACCTACCACACACACACACACAACACACACACCACCACACACACCACACACCACACACAACCACACCTGACACCTACACCCCACCACACCACCACACACACACACACACCACACACCACACACACCACACACACACACACACAACCACACCACACACCTACCTCCACACACACACCAGCACACACACACTGACACACTACCACACACACACACACACCAGCCACACACACACACACCACACACCACACCGACACACACACACACAACCACACACCTGCGCACAACACCACACACACACCTGACCCACCCCTACACACACACACACACCCTAACCCCACCCCACCACACCTAACACACACCTGACACCACACCACACACACACCTGACACACCACACACACCAGCCACACCACACACCACACCTGACACACCACACACACCACACCTGACCACCACCTGACACACCACACACCACACACACCACACCCACAACCACCTGTACACACCACACACACACACACACACACCAGCCTACCACACACCACACAACACCACCCACACCACCCCACAACACACCCCACACACACCACACACAACCACCTGACACACACACACCACACACCACACACAGCCACACCTACACCTGACCACACACCACACACACCGCCACACACACACAGCCACACCACACACCAGCACACACCCCACCACACACACAACACCTGCCTACCACCCCACACCACACACACACAAGCACACACCTGACACCACACCACACACACACCAGCCACTGTACACACACCACACACAAACCCCACCACCTGCACCACCACACCACCACACACACAACCAAGCCCTGAACACACCACCGCCACACACAGCCACCCGCACCACACACAACACACACCACACACAACACACACGTACCACACACACACACCCACCCTGAACCCTGACACCTGACACACACAACTTACCTGCCTAACACACTGACCTGACACACACAACCCACACACAACCACACCCACACACACAACACACACACACACACCACCACACACAACACACACAACCCCACACACAACCACCTGTACAAAACACACACACAGCACACACCAGCCACACTACACATACACACACCACACTGACACACCACACAAGCACACACCACACACAACCCACACACACAACACACACACCACACCTGACACACACAACACACACACCACACACACAACACACCAACCCCACACCACCCTGGCCACACACCACACACCTGACCACACCACACTAGCCACACACCAGCCACACACCACACACACACACACCTGACACACACCACACCTAGCCACACCTGCTACCACACCACACACACAACCTGACACACACAACACACACACACACACACACACCACACACACCACACACAACACACCTGACACACACACACACCTAACACACACACACCACACACCACACACACCACACACAACACACACACCACACAACCCCCAACCCACACCAACCCCACACCTGTACCACACCACACACAACACACACCAGCCACAACACACACACACAACACACACAACCACACCACACAACCACACACCACACACACCACACACACACCACCTGTACACCTGACACACCTGAACACACACCACACACAACCACACACCAACCTGACACCTGACACACAACACACACCACCAACACACACACCACACACAACACACACACCACCACCACACACACAAACCACACACCTGGCAACACACCCACCACCACACCCCCTGACCACCCTGCACACACAACCGCCACACAACCCCTACACACACCTGACACACAACACACACAGCACACACAGCCACACACAACACCCTGACACACACACAACCCCACAACCTAGCCACACACACAACACACTGACACCAACACACACCAGCACACACCACACACACACTAGCCACACACACACACACACACACAACCACACCGCACTGCCCCACACCCCAACCCACACCACACCCACCACACCAGACACACAACCCCACAGACACCTGACCACCTACCGCAACCTGCAACCCCCTGCTACCCTGACCACCTGACACACAACACACACAACCCCACACACCCCTGACACACACAACACACACACTGACCCCCTGACCACCTGCCACACACAACACACTGACCACACCACACACACCACACACACCAACCGCAACCACACCCCTGGCCACCTGACCTGCCTGGCCACACACCACCCAGACCACACACACCACACACACACAAACCCCACACACACACCACACACACAGCACACACACCACACAACCACCTGACACACCCTGACACACACAACCACACACAACCCCACACACCTGGCTACCCCTGACCACCTGTACACACACCACACCTGGCCACACACCACACACAACATACACCTGAAAGCACACAACCACACACCACACACCATACACACAACCCCACACACCTGACCTGCACCTGACACACACAACCACCAACACCCACCACACACCTGACACACACAGCCACACACAAACACACACAACACACACACACAACACCTGACACACACACCACACACACCTGACACACCAACCACACCAGCACACACACACACACCTGACACACTGACACAACACACACACCACCACACCTGACCACCCCACACACACAAACACACACAACCCACTGGCCACACACCACCCTGACACACACCAACACACTGACACTGGCCACACTGACACACAACACACAACACACAACACACACAACACACACAAACACTGACACACAACCACACACAACACACTGCAACACACACACCTGACACACACAACCCACACACAAACCCTACACACAACCTCCTACAGCCTAGCCACACACCACACACACACAACCACGCCACACACCTGGCCACCCCTGACCACACACAACACCTGACCACCTGACACACAACACACACAACCACCTGACCCCTGACCCTGGCTTACCCCACCGACACACAAACACACACACAAGCTCGCCTGACCACCTGACACACAAGACCTGACACACACACACACCCCCTGACACCCTGGCCACCTGACCCTGGCCACACACCACACACCCCTGGCACCACACACCTAGCCTACCCTGTACCCCCTGACCCCACCTGGCCACACCTGAGCCCACAACCCCACACCACACACAAAACACCACCTAGCCTGACACACACACCACACACCTGAAACCACACCACACATGACCACACCACACACACACAAGCACACACCCTGACCTGACACACAACCTACCTGAAACCCAGCACACACCACACACCTGACACACCACACACTGTACACACACCACCTGACACACACAACACACATACACACACCTGCACAACCCACACCCTGGCTACCCTGACCACCTGTGCCCACCTGACCACACAACACACACACCAGCCACACACAACACACACCAACCTGCCTGAGCACACTGAGCCTGACCACACCAGCCCCACGCACACACAACACACAAACAACACAACACACACCACAATAATAAAACACACAACACACACAACACACACAAACACAACACACAAACCACACACACAACACACAACACAATAACACACACACACACACAACACAATAATAACACACACAAACACAACACACACACAACACACACAACACACACACAAACACAACACACACAAACACAAACACATAAAAAACACAAAACACACAAAACACACACAAACACAACACACACACAAACACAACACACAACATACACAAACACAACACACACAACACACAACACACAAACACAACACACAACACACACACACAAACACACACAACACACACAAACACAACACACACACAAACACAATAACAACACACAACACACAACAACACACACACACAACACACAACACACAATAAACAATACACACAAACACACACACACACAACACACACAAAACACACACAATAACACACACAACACACACACACACAACACACACAATAACAACACACAACACACACAAAACACAACACACACACAACACACACAACACACACAACACACAACACAATAACAACACACAACACACACACAACACAATACAACACACACAACACACAACACACAACACACACACAACACACAACACACACAACACACACACACAACACACACACACAACACACACACAACACACATACAACACACAACACACAACACACACACACACAACACACAAGACATACAACACACACACACACACACACACACACACACACACACACACACACACAATACAACACACCACACACACACACACACACACACACACACACACACACACACTGAATATTTTTTATTCTGCATTTTTCTTAATACACAAAAGTCATGAATTAAACTTAGTTACTAAACACAATGTTGAACAGTGTTGGAAGTGGTAGTGTATCAAGTTTCTCATAATTGGCTTTATTCATCAGAGGGGGGTGGGGGACTGCTAGGGCACATGGGGTATGATACATATGCTGATATCCAACTGTCGCCTGAGTATAGAATATCAACAGGGCACTGCCAATGCATGTATTTCCACTACAGGGCTTCAAACAACCTTTACCAAATTCACATACACCCACAATGGAGATGCCACTTTTAATATTTTATTTGACTAACACCAGACAATTTTATTCAGCTCAAAGGGGATCCCATACACAAGGGGTTAACAAACACTCGCTAATCACTTGTGGAAGAACCAATAGGTTGGGGCCGAGGTCCTTTCAGGATGAGGGAGACAACTGCTTTCTTCAGAATCTGGACTGGAGTGTAAAATTTTTTTACCTAAGAGTACTGAGATTCAAACCCAGACCACCTTGAGCTGCAGATGAGTAGCTCAGGAGGGGTCCAGTGAATCTGTCTGACTGCTAACTTTGGTGGTCCAGGTTCAAATCCTGGCACTCATAGATAGAATTGTTTGCATTTATTTACTGTACTTGTGTACATTACAGGTTCTCATACAGGCATATGGAACATAGTGCTTCCTCTGCTTTTTGGGATGGTATTTATTTGACTTTGTCTCAAGACCAAAGTTTACTTTCCGATGGAGAATGAGAGTGAGTTTCCTCTGTGTGGTTACCCTGTCTTTTATTGCTTTGGGCAACCCTGGCTTTACCTGTTATAGGAAAGCCTCCAATAATGACAGTTCTACTAATGATGATTCATATTTAAAACCCTGGTTACTTTAGGACCCGATTCAATTTACACCGTCATTTTACTCATATTTATGACGAAAATGGAATAAAAAGTATAATAAAATTACACATAATCAATATTATGTGTTAAAGGAATATCCTTCCTTCCTTAGGCTTTAGTAAGCCCCTTTATAATATTTATACTGTATATACTTTTCACACTTGCCAGATGCTTCTGGTGTCATTGTACAGGGGTACCTAGTGACAGCACTAGGATCCCGCTTCCTCTATCAAGGAATAAACAATTGAAATTGAATTGAATTGAATAAAATTACAATTACATATAAATAATAACTAAATCCCGATATGGAGAGGGATAACATTAACAGGAATAGTATCGAAGGTTTTCTGTCTGGTCATACTGAACAGGATTCAAGAATCCTTAGACCGAAGGCTAAGAGATGAATAGGCAGGGTTCAGAAAATCAAGAAGCTGCAGTGATCATATATTCGCACTACGTCACATAATGCAGCAGTGTGTGGAGTTAAGAAAATTGTTGATAATGGCATTTGTCGATTTTGAGAAAGTCTTTGATAGTGTACATAGACCAACTATGTGGAAAATCTTACGGAACTATGGAATGCCAGAAAAATCGTTCATTTGATAGAAGAAATTCATAAGGGCAGCAGATGTCGAGTGAACGTTGATGGCCAACTTTCCCCAGAATTCAATGTCAAGAGTGGGATGTTGCAAGGTAATGTTTTGTCTCCATTGCTGTACTTATTGATTTCGGAATGAAACAAACAGTGGGTGATGAAAGAGAAGGGATCGAATGGGTCGACAATACAGTTAACCCTCACTTTACGCGGTCCCACATTCCGCGTTTCCACGTTTACGCGGTGCCCTGCCGGAACCCAGGATGCTCACATTCCGCGGTGCGTGTACCCCTTTACGCGGAGAGCGGCTGGCGAGCCGCGCCATTTTTGGATCCAAACCTCCCGCCATCCGCCATGTTGTGTAAGCTGCGCGAACATGGTGCGCACAAGGTCGCCCAGTCATCAAAACATTACCAGTTCTTCACCCGCCACCCACCACAGCCGGCCCAAGTCAGTGATAGTGATAATTATGGTGAGGATATGGACTTATATGGACTTGGGGGAGTTTGACAAAGAGGCCCTGCAAGCCTCTGTGGTGGATAGTGATACAATTGATACAAGTGACACAGGTGAGGGCCAATAATCTGCCCTCTGCCTCGGAACCAACCGCCCATCCCCGTGTGCCCAGCCATTTTTTCTACTAATGTAAGTGTTAAAAAACCTAATATTATTGATATTTCTCTTAATTATTAATTGTGTGTGCATACCATCATAAAGTTAAGATAATATTTTTACTACAACATAGTTGTGTGCCGTCAAAAAGTGGAGTTTGGGGATCGGCCCGGACTCCATTTCAATTCATCCCATATGTTATGTTATTCACTTTACGCGTTTCTCACTTTACGCGGGACCCTCCGGGTTACATTAACCGCGTAAAGTGAGGGTTAACTGTAAATACCTTGCAGACGATGTACTGTAGTACTGATGAGCAGATCCATTCAGAATTTGCAAACTATGGTTAGCAGACTGGGGGAAAAGGGAAGAGGAGCTGGATTAACGATTAATGTTAGAAAAACAGAGGTTATGAAAACAGACCAAGAAATTGAAGAGAACATTCAGGTGGAGGACCAAATAATGGAAGAAGTTCCTGTGTTCAAGCACAGGCATCTGGGGACACTCGTCAAAAACGATGGATCACCTGAAGATGAGTTTCAGGACAGAATAAGAAGAGGTTATGGGTATACTGGGCAAAGTGTGGAAGTCACATAGAATAACAGTCCATACCAAACTGAGCAGTGGTGGGCACAGCTAAACGAAAAGTTAGCTTCGCTAACCGCTAATCTGCAAACTAAAAAGTTAACTTTGCTAACGCTAAACAGTTAAAAAAATTAGCGGGAGCTAACGCTAACCGCTAACTTTTATTATATGAATTTAGCTTCTTTTTTGGGGGGGGGGGGGCTCTAAAACCCTTAAAAACAGACCTAGAGAGCTGAAATTTTCATATGTTGTCTTGTAGCTTAGACATATAGCTTTCCAAAAAGGTATAGCATGCCAAGATCAGATGATGATCAAGGTGTACACAAATAATTAAATGAACAAATGAAATTAAACATTAGTTTACATTCAAGTTTCAACATACACTTTATAATCTTTATTTACTGTACGAAAAGACAGAAAGTATTAAACGAATCCAAAAACTATAGTACTGTATAGCATAGGTAGCAAATAGCATCATGCCAAGATCAGATGATGATCAACTTATCAAGGTGTACACTGAACACAATTTCACAAATAATTAATTTGCATTCTCATACAACCTATCAGCCTTATTCATTATTCATGTAAATATGCAATACCAACCACACACACATTATACCAGTGCATTTTTATATAACTTCTTGTTGTTCTTAGTCATTATACCAGTGCATTAGGCAGGGCCAGCGCCAGCCTATTTGGCGCCCTTAGCAGGACTGCAGCTGGCGCCCCCACCCACCTCCCACTTCACAATTGGGTTTGACCACAAAGTAATCAAGGTACCATATTGAAGAAACTGTTACCTTATACTGATCTATTCTAATTTGCAAATACAGGTACTCCCCGACTTACGACGGGGTTAGGGACCCAAATCCAGGTCATAAGTCGGAATGGTCGTCAGTCCGACATAAATTAAAAAAAAAAAAAAAAATCTACAATGAAATGCAGTACAGTAAAAGTAATAAATAATGAGGAATGGATACAGTGTGACTGAGCACTTACCTATAAAGTAGTCAGCTGAATGCACACGGGGCCCCCAGAATTTTCTAATTATACATGGAGACTACATTAACTGGAAGAAGCAAAGGAGGAGACAGGGCTGGGTGGGTCATCCATGTCGCTTTCTTCAGACAGGTTTATGTACTGTGGAAACTTGCTGGTTGAAGGTATTGGATCATCTTGAGGGAGTGAAGAGGCAGCACTGCTGGGGCGTGAGGAGACAGCACTGGGGGATTTCTTAAAATAGATGTCCAATTTAGACTTCACAGTATGCTTTTTCTTTTCATTAAAAATGCAATGCCTCCTCATTATTACTTTGTAATTCAATTGACAATAGGAACATTATAAAATCCAGTCTCATTAAACATACCGAAGCAGTCAACATGAATTTGAGTAATGGCATGTACAAACTGGACAATTTTGTAATTAAGAAGATTTGTAACCAGGTGAGAAGGTTGGGTCACCTTACCCTCTGACCTGACTACCGACCGTTGCCGTGCTATTTAAAGATTAGTAGGGTCATTACCTAATACCTGACCATTGTGGACCTGGTCTCACCCTCCTCTGTATATAAACACCTTGTTTTGTACTTTTCTCTTTAGTCTGTACTCACCCCTGAAGATGTGAATTACACGAAAGCGCTTGGGAACTTCGTGTTTTCTTCTTTCCTTGTGGTTATCAGCATATACCTAGATCACGCGCACCTACAGTGATTTACTTGCATATATATATTTATATTCATATTTATAATATATTATATTATATTATATTATATTATATTATATTATAATATATTATATTATATTTAGGTGACTGATTGCTACCAAAGGCTGGAGTTCCTGGGAGATGCTGTGTTGGACTACCTGGTGACTGGGTTTGTGTTCTCTCGCCATGCTGCCTACTCTCCTGGCCAGATGTCGGACTTGAGGTGAGAGAAGATGAAAACTGTTTCTAATTTTTTTTGTATCAAGAGGCAGAACACATTACTGTACTTTCTATGGATTATCATTATTCGTAGGTTCAGCTTTTAATATAGTCATTGTTCTTTTATATTTGTGATTAGGGTGCCCCCCCCCTTCCTATATTCAGTCATACCAGGAACCTAAACACACCCCCCCTTTTTTTTATCATGGAAGTAGTTTATGCATTCAAAAGGTTGTTAGAAAGAACCTATCTTCTGTCTTTATCAAGGGTCTACTGTAGTACTTCACCAAAGGTTTGTCCTCTGTAATTTCAGTTTTTCTTAAGCAGGGTAATGATAGATCCTGTGAAATCTTCTGTTAAGGTAAGAGAAAGAATAGATAGATACCTGACCTGTCTTCTTCCCCACAACCATTCTTTAGCTGGTCGACTGATCTGTCCACTTACAAACAAACATATTATTGTGACTTAACCCTTAGGCTTCGGGCCATGTCATGTGACATTTTAATGTTTTGCGGGCCTGTTTCTATCCCCCCAACCTCCAAGCACATGTCTAGTACTGTATTGTGGTCAGTTATTGGAGCAGTAATAATGATAATTGTATAAATTGTAATAACATAGGAAAACGAGTGTCCTGTACCTCATACTGTATGCGAATTAGTGTTGTTTACCTCGTACTGTTGCGTCACACACTCAACTCTTCCTAGCCCGTGTTGTCAACCTGTGGTAAAGACATTTATTTATTTCCTGTTTATATCTTGCATGGCAAGTTTGTAAGACTCGAACTGCTTTTTATTTGTTTTTAAATGTTCCCAAATATCCCTACATTGGGGGGGGGGGTGATTAAAGAACCTTAGATTGTTTAATTAGTCTCAAACTCCATTTTACCTATTCCTTCAACAAAGTGTGCAACATACTTTTTAATGAATTCCATGTGGCTTGCTTGTGCAGATACTGTAGGCTGATTAGAAACAGTGCTTTGCAATTGACAAGATACTTGGTAGGAGGCAAAGTATAGCATCAGCCTCTCCTAAATACAGGAAATTTACAGGGTTATTCCTTACTCTGCTTACTGCTGGTAGTAGGCAGCTACCGAACAGGGAGGTACTACCGCCTGGGAAGATATTGGAAGCATAATGTGCTGCCATATGGCATCACGAAAATTGTGACCAAGTCCCAGGTTGCTGAGCTGACTTTCTGCCTCATTTACACACAATTGTAGGGTCTCAATTGTTTCTATTACATGACAAAACAACATACATATATAGCGTTTCTCACTGTTGATTTTTTTCATTCTTGCATTTCTTTGTATTTATTATTATCACAGTGTTGTTATTATTATTATTACTGTATAATATGGACACAAAGTAGTACCTTAAGCTGTGTATCCTTATATTACTCTTATTAATTATGTATAGTAAAGTATTACAGAACATGTATTAATCTTATGTAATATTTCCATTTATTGTGCACCATGTTATGTATATGAATTATCATATTTATATTTTATGTATTCAGCTTGTGAATGCTGGCATCTGTACAGGCCAGCGCGCAGTGATACATGGAGTGGAGACTACCAGTCCCTCAAGTGCGGAAGCGAGCTTCTTGGTCCATTTGTATATATCTCCCGTACGAGAATAAGAACCTATCTTTTAAGATAACAAGTGTTTGTGTATGCCCTCCGTAGTGTAGAACATTTTGGAGGTACCAAAAGACGAACATAGATGGCGCAGTGGATAGTTCTCAGTGAGATACAGTGGACCCAGCCTTCCCGCCTGGACTGTGTTAATGGCGTCTCGTCTTCAGCTTCACCAAGGATTTACAGCAAGACTACAAGCCTCTAGACTTACAGTGTTATGAAGTGCTATGCTGTGTACAGTGCTGTGCTGTGAAGTGAAGTGCTGTGTTGTGTATTTTAATCAGAATTGTCTGTGCAAATTGCGGTCAGATGACTAAGGGAGCGGCCCGACAGTACGTGCTCTCCCGCCTCTGGTCTGAGGGTAACTGAGGGACCAGCGAACGACTCTGCCCAGTTGCCAGCGCTCGCCAAGCCTCCCCTCCCGCCATACACACACACACACGCATTCACAGACCCACCTTATATTAAATTCTTGTGAGTTACTTCAGACTTCTGTAATTCTGTGCATAGATTACGAGGGGCTGACCCGGTCTTTTGCACAGATAGAGTACGGAAGCTGTCGGCATGTCTCACAGGGATCAAAATGATACCCTGGACGATGGGGTTATGAGTATAAGTCTGGGAGACCTCTCTCCACCCACACTCGGCCCCACGCTCCCCACAGTGACAACGCCGAATTACCCACAGAATCTCCTCGTTCGTCGCGAGCAAGCTCTCCTGCAATGCATGCGTCCACAGATCTCCTTCAACTGATTAAGTGGATGGAAACTTCTCGACGCCAGGACGATATTGCAAGAAGAGAAGAGGAAGAAATTCGGCACAGACAGTCTGAAAAACGGCGCCATGAAGAGGAACAAACACGCAGAGAACTCGAAGATATACGTAGAAGCGAGGATGACCTGAGAAGAAGAGAGGATCAAGCCAGATTTGAAGTCTTGATTTCTCTGTTAGCCTCCCCACAACGATCTACTGTACAAGATTCGTCTGCTACTACTAAAGCTGATACGACTAGAGGTACGGGTACCTCATTTCCCAGAGTCGATTCAACAATTCCTCAAAAGGCTGCAGCACAAACGCCTCCCTCTCTGAAGTCTGACGCTTCCTATCAGATATTTCGGGAATGGCGTCGACGTTGGCAAGACTATGCAACAATGGTTGACTTGTCAAGTTTACCACAGCCTAAACAGATGATACAGCTTCGTATGTGCTTGTCCCTAGAGACACAACGTACTCTCGAGCACACACTTCAAGTGCCTCCTACGACAACTCTGACTGTAGAGGCCGTTCTCGACAAGTTACAAGAACATGTTAAGGGACAGTGCAACGAAGCACTCAGAAGAAGAGAACTCCTCCAATGTAAGCAGCTTGATGGAGAATCTTTTGATGCATTTTTTGTAAGACTCAAGAGATGTTCAGAGGAAGTGGATGTTTGTCCTGGAAATTCTCAAGTCTGTGAAGAGACACAACTCAAGACAATCGTTTTAACGGGTGTTCGAGATGAAGAGCTAGTTCAGCGTCTCATTTCACTTGACCCCACTTCCTCCCTTCAAGACGTTGTTACAAAATGTCGAGCGTACGAGGCCGCCAGGTGTGCGACTTCAGCTTTATGCTCACAACCTAACCAGGTGAGGGCGGTGTCTTCCTACAGAAAGGGTAAGAAGCAGCAAGGTAACCCCACCCCTCACCCTCCACCTACACCTTCAGCAGCAGCTTTGTGTAACAGCTGTGCGAGACAGCATGATGCCTCCCAGTGCCCAGCTGCTCAAAGCGTATGCAGAAGTTGCGACCGCCAGGGTCACTGGGCTTACACAGTCAAGTGCCCTGCTAGCAAAGTTCAGTGCAGACTTTGTGGTCGTGTGGGCCATTATGACAAATGTTGTCGTAAGAAGACACAGAAAGGACACCACCTAGGATCCAAGAAGTCATCCTCAGGTAGTGCTGGTGCGCCCTCTCCTTCTGGCAAGCATCAAGACGCTGTGTCCAGTCGTTCCTGCCGTCGTGTACATTGTTCCACAGACACGACGCCCCAGCACATCAATGTTGTCATTTCTTATGGTAACTTGTCGTCCAGTCTTCAGATGTTACCTGACACCGGTGCTGACGTCTCAGTAATTGGTCCACAACACCTAGCAAGTTTGGGAATACCCCAGAGCAACCTACAGCCCCCTCCTCAGACAACGAAACTGACAGCTGATGGTTCCAAGATGGCTCCAGCTTCGGGCTCTTTCTGGGCTACTCTTACCTTTGGTAAGCAGTCTTGCTCAGCCCGGATTGATGTTCATGATGGTATCCCGACTCCGCTTTTATCATATGGCCATTGTCAAGAGTTGGCCATTATTTCCAAGGAATTCCCCAAACCTATTTTAAAGATCACCCATGTCAACAGGTTGAAGGAATTCCCTATCTCTACTAACACGTCCCCTTCTGATGCAAGAGCTTACCTTCTCAAGGAGTTTGCTGACGTGTTGGTTACGAAGGAATCTTTGGGATCCACACCACTCAAGCCGATGGTGGGTCCACCTATGAAGATTCATCTTGAGGATGGTGGGTCCACCTATGAAGATTCATCTTAAGGATGGTGCCACACCTTTTGCCATCCACACCCCTCGTTTGATTCCTCACGCCTACAAGGAGCTAGTTAGACAAGAGCTTGACTCCATGGTTGCTCAGGGAATCATCAAGCCGGCCGGAGACGAACCTTCACCTTGGTGCCACCCTCTCGTCCCCATCGCCGAACCCCGTGGTGGAGTACGAATCACCACCGATCTACCAAAACTTAACCAGCAAGTTTCCCGTCCAGCCCACCCTTCACCCACACCCTTCGCAGCTGTTCGAAATGTGGACCCGAAGGCGAAGTTTTTTACAACAATGGACGCCTTATGTGGTTATTGGCAGATCGAGTTGGCCGAAGAAGACCAACATTTGACTACATTCATCACACCGTATGGAAGATATCAGTATTGCAGAGGCCCCATGGGATTTGCCGCTACGGGCGATGCATTCTGTCAACGTGGTGATGCGGCCCTTCAAGGAGTCACGAATTGTGTCAAGGTGGTCGATGATATATTACTCCATGACGAAGACTACTGTGCCCACCTCTCCCGAATTTATGAAGTTCTCACCAGATGTCGAAAATACGGGATTACCCTCAACGCTGACAAGTTTGTAGTCGCCGCACCATCAGTGAACTTCTGTGGGTACACTCTCTCAGCATCAGGTATCGCAGCTGACCCGGAGAAATTAAGTGAAATCAGGGATTTCCCAACCCCTGCCAACCTGACAGACTTCCGTTCTTTTTTGGGTCTGGTTAATCAGTTGGCTGAATTTTCACCTGACATCTCCGCCGCAGCCCAGCCGTTACGCCCCCTGCTGAGCCTCAGGAGGACATTCCTGTGGACCCCAGATCATCAAGAGGCCTTCCAGCGAGTCAAGCAGGCCCTCGTAAGTCTACCTGTCCTCGCCTGTTACGACCCAGCCCTACCCACCGTCCTCCAGACTGACGCCTCCAGACTCTACGGCGTTGGTTACGCCCTTCTGCAGGACTATGGCGGTGGACAACTCCGCTTAATTCAGTGTGGATCCCGGTTCCTGACGGACGCCGAGACCCGATATGCCACGATTGAGCTGGAGATGTTGGCTGTTGTCTGGGCGATGGCAAAGTGCCGCTTCTACCTGATAGGACTTAAGCACTTCACCCTCTTCACGGATCATCGCCCTCTTATACCTATTATCAATCACTACTCTTTGGATGCAGTAGAGAATCCTCGCCTTCAATGTCTGAAAGAGAAGCTCTAGCCTTATCTCTTCACGGCTGTGTGGCGTGCGGGTAAGCTGTTGTGCATCCCGCATGCCCTGTCCCGCGCCCCTGTCAGTCGCCCCACCCCAGAGGACAAGATGTTGTGTTCTACAGCTGCTGCATCCCTCAAGTCAGTAGTCTCAATGAAGGCCGTCTTCACATCAGAAGAGTCTACAGTACCGGATGCAGACAAGACCCTTGAAGATCTCCGCACCGCAGCCCGGGCCGACCCTTCCTATATCCGGCTCGTCGACTGTGTGTCCCAGGGATTTCCATCTAACCGATACGACCTTCATGAATCGCTACTCCCATACTGGAAGATACGCGAGGACCTCTATTGTGACGGAGACCTCATCTTGTATGGTCCACGAGTAGTCATTCCTGCTGCCCTACGCCGCCGTACCTTGACCCGCCTAAACGACAGCCATCGAGGAGTGGAAGCCACCAAGCGACGGGCGAAGCAGACTGTATTTTGGCCCGGAATCGACGCGGACATTGCAAGTACCGTCCGTGCCAGTGAGCCGTGCCAGACTCTGCAACCCAGCCAGCAACAGGAACCTTTAATGTGCGACGATAACCCTTCAAGACCCTTCGAGTCTGTGTCGGCCGACTTTTTTGCAGTGGCAGGGAAGTCCTTCCTCGTCATTGCCAACCGATTGTCTGGATGGCCTGTTGTCATCCCCTGTGGTAGTGATACAACGGCTACTGCTACCATCCGCAATTTCAGGCATTACTTCAGAGAAGTTGGTGTTCCCCTCCGCCTCAGGACTGATGGAGGACCCCAGTTCACCAGCCACGAGTTCCGGGACTTCATGGACCGTTGGGGAGTCCGTCATGTCGTGACCTCGCCCCACTACCCCCAGGCGAATGGACACGCTGAAGCCGCAGTCAAGACTGTTAAACACCTGATCCTTAAGGTGTCACCCTCAGGAAATATCGACTGCGAGGACTTCGATCGAGGTTTGTTAGAGTTACGCAACACCCCGAACTTCACCGGACGCTCCCCAGCCCAGGTCCTTTATGGACATCATCTCAGGTCTTGTGTTCCTGCCCACCCGAAGTCTTTTTCTCAAGAATGGCAAGCCAAGACTGAAGAATGTGACCGCCATGCAGCAGAACGAGCCGCAGATGTCGCTGCCCGGTACGACTATCGTGCCCGCCCCCTTCCCAGGTTGAGTATCGGCCAGCAGGTCAGGATTCAAGATCCGGTATCTCACCGCTGGGACAAGGTTGGGGTTGTCATGGGTATTGGCCGGTCCAGGGACTACCAAGTGCGTCTTCCTAGTGGTAGAGTATGGTGGAGGAACCGTCGTTTCCTCTGACCTGTGGAGCTGCCTAGTGTTGACCCTTCCCCAGTTAAGTTGCCTAATGTTGATGTCTTTACAGTATATCCATCCCCACCTTGTGTTGCTGCCCCGGTTCTCCGCAGGTCCGAGCAACTCAGAAACAAAAGGTCCGCTCAAGATGAAACTATGAGCGTATAGGGGGGAGGGAGGTGTATAATATGGACAAGAAGTAGTACCTTAAGCTGTGTATTCTTATATTACTCTATTAATTATATATAGTAAAGTATTACAGAACATGTATTAATCCTATGTAATATTTCCATTTATTATGCACCATGTTATGTATGTGAATTATCATATTTACATATGTATTCAGCTTGTGAATGCTGGCATCTGTATTGCGTCAGATACATAGAGTGGAGACTACCAGTCCCTCAAGTGCGGAAGCGAGCTTCTTGGTCTATCTGTATATATCTCCCGTACGAGAATAAGAACCTATCTTTTAAGATAACAAGTGTTTGTGTATGCCCTCCATAGTGCAGAACATTTTGGCGGTATCAAAGAAGAAACATAGAATTACCATTAATATTTTATTTTACTTTTTATTATAAATTTTATTTACTATGAATTATTATTATTATTCAATCTCCCCCCCTGATGTGGGTCAGTGACCTATACCCGGGTGGGCTAATCCCCGTAAAAAAAAAAAATTTCATAATCTGAAGGTGACATCTTTTTTATTATTCCCACTCTACAGATCTTATTATGTCAAGAATGAAACTCTGGCTACTGTTGCTGCAGAGAAAGAACTTCACAAACACTTGCTCTACATGGCTCCCAAACTATCAGCTTCTATTGATAAATTCTTAAAAATATTGGATGCTGGTTATGAAGAGGACACTCTTACTATTGAAGAGGATGAAATGGATCACGAGGTAAGAAACTTGAGTGGTGAACCAGGGAAGCATCAACATATTCATTAGTACTATAAGTAAAAGTCCAAAAATCCGGATGTCAAAAATCCGGACCACCCGAGAATCCGGACTTTTGGAAAACTAATTATTATTATTTTTTTTTAGCGGGCTTTTGTGTGTATGTGCGCATGCGTGAGCGCCACAGCGACAACAAGCGACCACGTCGTCTCCACTTTAAAACGAGCAATCAAACTGTGACAACATACCGTATATACTCATCTATAAACCCCCCCTCGTTTATCTGTCGACCCTGATTTTTTGACCAAGAAATCGTTAATTTATGATATTCCTCGTTTATAGTTCGACCCACGTTTTTGAGGGTAATGGAACAACAAAACCTTCAGTAAAAACGCTCTACGTCCTATAAACTGAGGCTAGCCGTGCAAGAAACACAAGTGCTGAAGGCAAATTGTTTACCATTTATTATTACGACACTTTACACTGAAACGCGGGTAGTTTCAACAAAAATATTGTATATTTCCATTCAAGTATTTATTCAAGTCAATTAGGAGGGAATATTATTGTAATACAACAGTTTTTTAACTAAACCATTCGAAAAGCGATTACGGTAACATCTTTTGAACGAAAGAAAGCGAAAGTCATTGTTTTCGTCACGATTTGATCCCACTTTCCGCTGTAATACGTACGTCATTTTAGCAAAAATATTACATTTCCGTGAATGCATTATATCAAGCACAGTATGAATAGAATACCATTGTAATATAACAATATTTTGAGTCCTACTCTTTCCATTTACAGAGTACTGTACAAGCCCATAATATTGACTCCTAAAGTAGATAAACTTCGTTGTGTGAAGAGAAAGAAGAACACGTTGAAATTGAGTGACAAACTTGAAATAATTAAGAAACTAGACCGTGGTGTGAGCAGTACTGTTCTAATGGAAACATACGACATTGGAAAATCTACAATTTATGATATAAAAAAGGCAAAGAATAAAATTCTAGAATTCACAGCTTTTTCATTAAAACTGCTCGTTTTGATAAATGAAGCATGCTATATTTGTTAATGAATAAACTATCAAATGTACCTGTTCATCTCTTCTTTATTCCTCCTTAAATTTGAATTTTAAAAGTACTGCCTGAGAATCCGGAAAATCCGAAAATCCGGATCGACCCAATCCCCAAGCAGTCCGGATTTTTGGACTTCTACTGTACTGTGGTCCCTCGGTTAACGAACGGTTCGATTAAAAAAATTTCGGTTAACGAATTAGCTCCCATAAGGATTTTCAGTTTGATTAACGAACAAAACTTCGATTAACGAAATCCTTACGACAAACACTTTTTGTTGTGTGGATGAGCTGATCGGCCAGTCCGCCAATCAGTAATCAGTTCTATGTTTACATTCGTTTCCAGTGGAGTAAATATCAAGAAAGTTGGTCTCTTGAATATTTCTGCATTTTTTATATTAAAATTATTGGTCATTCTGAAATTTAGTTAACATATTGATAATATAAACAGAACTGTACAGGGAACAGTTTTTGTGTGCCAATCAGCAGATTGAATCACCCAACAATGCTTCTCAGTTTAACTTTGTATACAGTGGAGTGAACATCCAGTTTGTTGGTCTCTTGAATATTTTTGCATTTTTACATTGAAATTATTGGTCATCCTGAAATTTAGTTAACATATTGATAATATACAGTGCAGAAATTATTATGAAACATGAAGAAGGCATTAGAACCAATGCACTCTGTAAAGAATATGGCATGTCATCATCGACTGCCTCTACAATCAGCTGTTTGATATGTAAACAAAGCTGCCGGGAATATGACATACACACCTCAAAGTAAGTTAAAATACATTATTCTATTGTTTTTTATTTATTATAATACTGTATGGTATACTGTACAGTACAGTACTGTATTTAGTTTATATTTAATGTTTTGTTAATTCTATTGCTGGTACTGTATACAGTGCTTTGTATGTATACTTTTTCTGTGAGTTGGAATCAATTACCCAATATCCCATTGAAATAATATATTCGGTTAACAAAATTTTCGGTTGATGTGTTTGCTGTATATTTGAGCTATGTATTTTACCCTAAAGATGATATTTATATCTACTGTATATATAATAATGAGGAAATAAAGAATAAGATACACATGCCAGTAAAACTTGTTATCCAGTGGAGTAAAGTAGAATATATATCATCCCCAAAAGTTAACAGTTATTTGGGTAAACAACGATGGCAGCATCAGGTGAGCAGTGCACCACTACAAACTATTCAACATGATAAAATATTATTCCTGATTCTTATTGGATTTCTAGGAGAAATTTTGATGAATGAGAAGAGTTTCAAAAAATTAAAATAGCCATATATTGTGACAAACATTTATAATTCTGATAAAATACTGTAAGTAATATTTAAGTAATAATTTCATGCTTTTCAACTTTTTCATTGCAGGATATAGATATTCCCAAGGCTTTGGGTGACTTGATTGAATCCATCATTGGAGCTGTGTACCTGGATAGTGGTAGATCTCTTGAGGTTAGTTCATTCTCTAAGATAACATCTACATCTTGCGTTCTGTACTGTACCATACTCAAACGAGGAACTCTCCGATAGACGGAATTTTAATTTTCTCGGAAAGTTGTTCCCAGGGCCTTACTTTTTCGGAAAATTTCGGCTTTGGGAACAATTTTCCGGAAAATTCTGAAAAAAAATCCCGATACCCGGAAAATTCCGGGGATGGGGGAGTTTTTTCTGGGTTTGAGAGATGAAAATTGGGCGCATTTTCTGGAAATTCTGAGAAAAAAAAATTTCCGTTACCCAGAAAATTCCGGGTATGAGGGATGTTTTTCTTGGTTCGAGAGATGATGTAATGGGCAATTTCTGGAACTTCCGAGAACATTTTTCCGTTGCCCGGAAAATTCTGGGGATGAGAGATTTTTTCTGGCTTTGAGAGAATTGTCTCGTTACCCGGAAATCTCTCACTCCCAGAAGTGCTCTGAACCAATTGTTCCGGCTAACAGGGATATCACTGTACTTTATCACAATAAGACCGGAGAATGTCAGTATATGAGGCGCTCCGCATCAGAAGGGGTTGAAGTGTCAACTTCAAAAACCCTAGAAAAATGCGTTTAAAGATTTTCGAAGTTCAAACAAACATAACTTTGTTGTTTTTTAAGCTAGAGGGTTCATTTTTATTATTGTGCAGCTCAACCCCTCTCCTAGTGAACTGTGAAAACTGGAAGTTAGTACTGTGAATAGTTATTATTTTATCGCGAGTTGAGTGAGAATAACTAACCGTCATGTACATTTGTTTGAGCTTCAAACCAACAATAATAAAATTTTTCTGCAGATTTTTTTTTATTATTGTGGACTAATACTGTAAAACAAGTTAATGATCACCAAAAACAACACTTGTCTGAAACCCCCAAAAAAAATGAAAATAATAAAAACACTCATTTGCTTATTAATTTATCTTTCTGTCTATTATTTGCCAAAAGATTTATAATGTTATTAAGTATAATAATAAGGAAACACCACTACACTCATCCCCCCCACCATTAACCTCCCCCCCCCCAACATTATTAAAATACAAATACAAAGGCGGAGAAAGTGTGCATAATCTTTGGTAAAAACATTATTATGACAATAGTATTACAATCTTACTTTGTTTAGTTCCTTCATTTTATTATTCCTGAAGATCGTAGCAACTTGAAGTGCGTATAACTTTAATGGCCTCGTCATTATCAATAAGGTACTGATCAAAGTCTTTCTCTGCACTCTCTAAAAATCGCCACACAGATTCTTCATCGACTAAATCATTGAATTATTGATGCCGGCAACAGTTCAGTTTCATTATAAGACTGTCCACTTTCAATTCTGGCTATCGGAGAGTCCTTGTTTGAGGGATTGCGGCTAAGGGAGATATTACTGTAATTCAATATTGTCAATTAAATAGCTAATTTCGGCCTACCAAATTAAGTATGAAATGTCTCGCATTCAGGCCTCCTAACCGTCGCAAGACAAAAGGAATGTTCAGTTGGAAAATCATTGGACCCCACCTGTTTGGTAGTTTTTACCGAGTGTACCTTAACATAATGCTGCCACACCAGACGCATTACACCACCCTATACCCACGCCTTGCACGCATAGCACACACACACACACACACACACACACACACACACACACACACACACACACACACACACACACACACACACACACACACACACACTTTATTTTTTTTGCATCTATCCCATAAATCCTATATCTGGCTGGGTAGTAAAATTCACTCTCACATAACTCTTTTTTTTTTTTTTGGTCATATTTTGCATTAATTTTCAAATGATTTTTTTATCAGATAACATGGAGAGTAGTAGAACAGCTAATGGGAACCGTCATCAAGAAGACTGTCTCTGATATACCAATTAGTTCAGTCCGTCAGCTGTATGAAGAGATGCCTGGTGGGGTGAAGTTTGAGAAGGTACCACGTATGGAAGGTGACCTTGAAGCCAAGTATAAAGTGCAGGTAGGTGTTCAGTGGTGTACATTTATTGAAGCTGATGATGTTAAGTGATAATATATTAAGTGCACAGCAGGGATGGGGGTGACTGTGATGTTTAATGGTTGTAATTAATTACAGTACAAATTATTTAGTAATCGTAATTACTTTAATTTTTTTTTTTTAATGCAATTGTAATCAGTTTTACTCGAAGTGATAATATAATTGATACAATATTACAGCAAAATTTCAGGGCCTCAACAAGTATAGGTTGATGTTTTATGAAAACTTTTCTACCTGTACTGTTATATCTATTGTGCCAATGGTGGATTTAGGGAGCAGTGTCAGATCCAACTAAAGCTTAAGGGAAGAATTCAGGAAAAAGGTGCCACATATCTAACTTTTTTGTGTGTACGCATTATCAAACATGACTGAACACTACACTTAGTGACATAGAAGTGATATAGAAAAATATATCATTACTGTTTATGGAGGAATGTGTGTATAGACTGTATAGGTAGTCCCCAGGTTGCGTAAGAATTCCAGAATGTTCCTACTGTCGTTCTTAAGTTGAAAATGTACCTAAGTCAAACCACATACTCTATGTGCATACTGTACCTCCAGAAAAATGTTTAATATCCCATTATATCATAGCCTAATCCTTATTATACATCTAAAACCACTTACCCCCGTATATATACGTGTATAGCTCGAGATTTTAAGACCAAATTTTTAGGCAAAAATTTGGGGGTCGACCTATACATGGGTAATATTTTGGTTAGGTTGAATCCGTGCATGATGGGAAGGGCGAGGAGCAACTTTTAGCTTTAGACATGAAAAATATTTTCCAGTTATTGCCAGTAAACAATGGAAACATAAAATATGTACCAATTAGTAATGAAAAGCTGTGCAGTGCCTTCAGCAGATGAAGCTCACCAACTTACAATAGGCTAACTTACCTTACAACGTGCTTTCAGTAGTCTATGTTGAAGTTGAACCTGATGACCGTCATCTGAGTAAAAACTCGCACAATATTCATTGACTGTCCTTATGTCTTGGACTTTACCACCATTGTTGAATAGAATTTTAGTTTTACATTCATAAATATTATTTAAAACATATATGAACAGTAAATAAGTGTTGCTTTCATATTCATATGTAGAGAAATGACGATATGTTTTCACATGTACGCACTTACTGTTCATACGTTGGTGTTCCCAATCGTCTCGCCTTATTTCTATACCATTAGTGGTTAGCTACTTCTAGTGTTCCATTTATTAACATTAAATAGCATTACTTAAAACATACATACAGGTATTCAATTTTTTTTTAATTAAGTTCACTACAGCTACAACCAGGGTCTTATTTTCTTCAGTTTCTTATGTAGAACCATCGCCACTCATGAAAACAATGCCGTCTTGTCTCCTCGTGTGTGTTTTAATATTCTACTTATTATTTATGAATTGCATTGTTCATTTCACATATATAAACATTAATTCAATGAAATACATATTCAGTAATAAACAATAATGAAACTTTTGTACATATTCCTAAGATAAATGACTGTTTCCTTGAGTGTGCACATATACATTGGGTGTAAACTCTGACAACAATGTCATCTCTTATCCTCTTGTGTGTTTTAATATTCTACGTATTAATGAATTGTATTGTTCATTTCGCATATATAAAGATTAATTAAATCAAATACATATTCAGTAATAAACATTAACAATCTTTTGTATATATTCTTAAAAAGATAACTGACGTGGTATCCTTAAATGCGCACGTATATGTTGCGTTTCTAATCCATATCTTTTTTTTTTTTTTGCCATTACTTTCGCTTTCTTTCGTTCAAAAGATGTTACCTTAATCGCTTTTTGAATGGTTCTCAGTTAAAAAAACTGTTGTATTACAATCATATTCTCTCCTAATTAACTTGAATAAATTGTAGTGGACTTCTCCCCTACAACTGCGTATCCGCATTCCAATGCGACAGTATCCTAGCAACCAAACGAGCGGCCCAGGGGGGGGGCGTCACCAGCTACTACCGTATCCCAGCAACAGGTCGAGAAACTGGCGAGTTCCCACGGGTTTACTTCCGGCTGCTGTGTATATAAGCTTTGTCTCTCCATTAAGATTCATTCTGGCCTCGGTTCCTGAACACGCAACACTTCCTCCAAGCAAGCTCCTCGCTGTCCAGCTCTCATTCAACCTGGAGGCCAGCAACAGGCAACATCTCCTCTAACGAAGCTCCTGCACATCTACCTCCTACAGCACGCTACTCACCGAACATGTCTACTGAGCAGCTCCTCACCACACGGCATCTCCAGCACCAGACTATCTTTCATATAATTTATATTATATAAGAAAACCACCACCTAGAGTTTCCATCAATCCCATCCTGAGTGCTAGAAAACATAATATCACGTAACCCTACAAATGGTGACTCCCGGAGATTCGCACTCACACAGGATGGAGGAGAAACTGATCACGCTCCCACCATCAAGCAGCATGGAAGACTGGCTTATCCACACAGAAGCAGCTCTCATCGGCTTTACAACTACTGTCTCTACACCGCAGGTTAGACACCCTAGAGCAGCTCTGCTACTCTAAGCAGACACCAGCTCCTCTTCCTGCCCCAAGCACCACGTCCTACCGACCCCAGCACACCCGTCCTGCCTCAGACGCCGACCCCGGCCCAGCAGTAACCCCTGCCGCCCCTGATGCGGCCTCTGTTCCTGAGTGCGGACCCACACACCCCTCTTTTCTCCCTCAGGTACTCCCTGCTAATGTCCTGCACCCTGCTGCTGTCGTGGACCCAGCTGCTGTCACGAGCCCTCATCCGCTTCTGCTGACGCAGCCCCTGCTCCTGACCCAAGCCCACACACCCCAGCAGGCGCATCTGACGACTCTGTACCTGCCATGAGGGAAGCACATCATTCATCGCCTCCACACACCCTTTTTCTCCCTCTCTTCTCCCACAGATAGTGTGTATATAGACAGTTGTATACAGCGACCGGCTCATCCACGCCATCGCCGTTGTCTCACATGAGGCATGCACCGCCCGTTCTGCCTCACATGTGCTAAGCAACTCTGCAGACAACAAGTCTCCTACACCGCCTGGAGGGAAGGGGGAGTATTGTAGTGGACGTCTCCCCTACAACTGCGTATCCGCATTCCAATGCGACAGTATCCTAGCAACCAAACGAGCAGCCCGGTGGGGGGGGGTCGAGAAAACAGCGAGTTCCCACGGGTTTACTTCCAGCTGCTGTGTATATAAGCTCTGTCTCTCCAGTAAGATTCATTCTGGCCTCGGTTCCTGAACACGCAACACCTCCTCCAAGCAAGCTCCTCGCTGTCCAGCTCTCATTCAACCTGGAGGCCAGCAACAGGCAACATCTCCTCTAACGAAGCTCCTGCACATCTACCTCCTTCAGCACGCTACTCACCGAACATGTCTACTGAGCAGCTCCTCACCACACGGCATCTCCAGCACCAGACTGTCTTTCATATAATTTATATTATATAAGAAAACCACCACCTAGAGTTTCCATCAATCCCATCCTGAGTGCTAGACAACATAATATCATGTAACCCTACAAAATACTTGAATGGAAATATACAATATTTTTGCTGAAACTACCCGCATGTCAGTGTAAAGTGCCGTAATAATAAATGGTAAACAATTTGCATTCGGCTCTCGGTGTTTCAGGCACAGCGACCCTCAGTTTATAGAACGTAGAGTGTTTTTAGTGAAGGTTTTCTGAAATGAGTTTTATATGCCATAAAATATGGTGCTTTATTACCCCAATTTGTTGTTCTATTACCCTCAAAAACTTGGGTCGACCTATACACAAGGCATATCATAAATTAGGGATTTCTTGGTCAAAAATCAAGGTCGACCTATACCTGAGGTAGAATTATAGACGAGTATATACGGTATTTTAAGAGAAAATAAGAAATATAATAACAAAATACAGAAAGTGAAAGAAAAAAATGGGTCATCAGGTAAATAAAATACAGTGGTCCCTCGGTTAACGAACACAATTCGTTTCAGAAGGTCGTTCGTTAACCAAAACCATTGTTTCAATGGGATTTTGGGTAATTGGTTCCAGCTCACCGAAAATTACATACAAAGTAAAAATAAATGCAGTAAAGTACACTTACTTTGAGGTGTGTATTTAGAAGGCTCCTGGTTGATGATGGGAATTAGAAGTGGGGGGTCGGGGTGGAGGAGAAGGGAGAAGAGAAGGAAGTGTGGTGGAAGAGAAATCGCCCCATGCTTCATGCCGTCATTTCACCCATAAAATTTTAAGTTTACTAGGCGTAATTCAAGATTATTTTCTTTAAATCAACACTGCACTGCACTATATAATTGTCAATATGTTAAATAAATTTCAGAATGACCAATAATTGTACTGTAAAAACATAAAAATAGTTTATGTTCAAGAGAGCCACAAGCAAGATGTTACCTCCACTGACCAGAGATACAAACTGACACCTTGCTGGGTGAGTCAAGTGGCTGATTGGCACACCAAAAACTAGTTTCCTGTAATGCAATTATGTTAAATAAATGTTAAAATGACAGAAAATTTCAATATAAAACTTGGAAAATTATTGAATAGTACAACCTTCTTGATATTTACTCAAATGGGAATGAATTTATGCCCTAAAACCGATTACTGTATTGGCGGACTAATATTCCAGCTGGTGAGCAAGTGAAAACATGTTGACATGGTTTGGTAAAAATTTCATTAATCAAATTTTTGTTCATTAACCGAATTGAAGATTCTTATGAAAGGTAATTCGTTAACCGAGGGATCACTGTACTGTAAATTTAAAGTTTAACTTTACGGGACCTCGTTCGTCTGGTCAGATGTTCGTAAGTTGAACATAAGTAACCCAGGGACCTACTGTATGTGTTTAATAACTTTATGTAACAATAATGTAAAAACTGTCCTGTACTATAGATTACGTCCCCAATGCAGGGTTGTGTTCATGTACAGTACAAGTAGTTGTATTTGAGGACACAATTTCTCAAGTACCTGAGGTAAAAATTTCATTTTTATATGCATTTCAAATAAATTCAAGTACTGTACATGTACATTCTGTTGAGTTATAACAAGTGATGGTGATGGACAAGGGCTTGCTGGTCAACTTGTGCCAGGACCAACTCCTACCAGATTCATCACATAAAATTGTTACACAAGTACCGTACAGCATACACATTCTTCGTTATACAATATAAGTTATACAATATAAGTAATAATTTATTTGTCTATGTGTACAGTCATATTTGATAACATGCACACACACAAAAAAAAAATTATATATGGCAGTGTTTTTCATGGATTCCTCCCTTAAGCTTTAAGCAAAGCCAGAAGAATTGTCAGAGGTGGGAAACCCACCTTTGGAATACTGGAATACTGTGTCTAGTATTGGGTCTGGATACATATGGAGGCTCCTTGCACGACAGAAATGCAAGGCTACAGCTTTAGTATATAATTTTGGATAAACTATTTAGTGTCAGTTAACTTGTAAAGTTTAAGTGTAATTACAGTGAACCCTCGAAGATCTGGACTAAAAGGGGGAACCACCTGTCCGAAAAAGCCGATTGTCAGAATCTTCCTGTGAATGTATAAAAACGATAAATAATGATATAAAAAACACCAAAACTACAGTACATATCCTGACTACTTGGGTTAGTTATACAGACTTTTTCCTGTGAAAAAGCCATAATTTTGAGCAACATATTACTGTACTCACTTTGTGCTCAAATGTACTTCACTAAAGGAATTTTTTTTTAATCTCATGCAAACTATGTGATGTCTCCATTCAAATTATTTGCTATCTTGCAAGGATTCCAGCAATGCAAGTTATATTCTGCTCAGTTTAGTCTATGACAATTTATAAGAAAAACCTTTTAAGTCTAAAACTACCTTCACCCTGTTTTGGGAATGCTTCTTAGCCCAGAACCCCCAAATTTTTTGTCCGAATCTTCCAAAATCCGGATTTACCGGGTCCGAATCTTCGAGGGTTTACTGTATCTATATTCTTTTTTTTTACTGTAAAAAAAATTACTGGTTTGATAAATAAGCAAGTGAGAATGAGTTCAAAATAATATTGTAAATTATCTATCTTAAGGGTAATGAATTATATTTTTCTCTAAACAGATAAGAGGGTTGCCACCTCTCTGTGGTTCGGGGAAAAACTACAGGACGGCAAAAAGTGCAGCTGCAAAATTCGGTCTTCAGAAGTTACGAGAAGCCCAAACGAAGAATGATCAACCACTTGGGCAATAGCCAGACGTTACTGTGTTGAAATTAGTCCACGTGGTAACTGCGGAAATAATGTAATTATTTGTGTTTGTTGATTTATTGTGATTACAGTATTTTATATGCTTGTTGATTAATGTATACACCCACCAAAAAAGGTACTGCAAACCTTGCAGTACTTTACATTCTGGAACACAGGATGAAGTGTCTTGATATACCTACCCTGGGTATGCCTTTTCCCCTTACTAGATACAGTAAACTTTTGATAACTTGGATTATATTGGACTATAACCATTGCAAGTTAGAAAGGCTGGGTGATGTTCACTGAACCAGTACGAGAGAGAGGACGCCAGACTTAGCACTGTAAGCGGTTAGTTTTCAACTCGTAATTTGGAGTAGACGTTTTTTTTATATACAGAGTATACTGTACTCTGTTACATGCAAATGCAATATATACAATCTTTCATATAGAATGTGCAAAAATAAAAAAATAAATATCAGGTCAAAATATATGAGGAATAAACATTTTGTATGTGCAGGAGAGTTATCATAGCGGGGGAGCAGCGTGGGGGATCTCTTAGCTGTTCGCGGTCTCGTGTCCTGTGTGTAGTGAAACCATTGCCAAAGAGCAATGGAATATTTATTATTTTATGATATTTATTGGTATTATTTTTATTTATTCTTCACATTTACTGGTGCAGTAAACACCCAATATAACGGATCTCGGCTTTTAACAGACTCTGGCCCATTCGGACTAGGTACATATATAAGAGCATAAGAATGGAGGAAACTGCAGTGGGCCTATTGGCCTGTACTGGGCAGTTCCATTTACACCCATACCCTATTGCTCATATATATCCATCCAACCTATGTTTGAAGCTATCCAGCTTATTCGAGTTAATGATGATTTTTGTTAACTTGTTCCAGTCATCCACTACTCTATTTCCAAACCAATGTTTACCTATCTCGCGCCTAAATCTAAATTTGTCTAATTTAAAACCAGTGTTACGGGTTCGCTCTTGGTTGGATAGTTTGAATACCTTTGTAATGTCACCTTTGTTTAACCCTGACTTCCATTTATACACCTCGATCATATCGTCTCTTACTCTTAGTCTGCCATTTTTCAGACCATTTGGAAAAATTGGTTTAGATCTTGCAGAGTTCTCATCAGATTTAATTACACACCCTATTTTAGTGTCTTCAGCAAATTTACTTATGTTGGTGTCTCTGCAAAGCATTAGAGAGTATAAATAAAAAGTTATTGAACGACTTACAGGATTAAGTATTTATATCAGTCATACAGATGATAAGATGTTTGATTGACATTTGACATTACAGGTGAAAGAATGGCAGGATGTAGAGGAAAACAGTGCAGATTTTTTTTTTTTTTTGACAAGTTGGAGAGTTTTCTGCTTTATAGACATTGAGAAAGTATAACTTGTAGTTATTAGGAATTAATTTTATACATGTTTTACTTGTGGCTAAGATGGAAGGTTGATGAACTATGCTCTTGAGTAAATAGTTTCTACAAAATTTGGATTGGAGAATAAATGTATAATGTACAATGGGTGTTGACTGTTGTTATGAATGGGATTGGATTCTTCTGTTTAAAGCACAGGTATTGTTAATTGTTGCATCTTTAGAAGATTTAGGAGATCGTCCAATTGTTTAAGGGAAGCTTATTTTTAATCTTAATATAAAATGTAATATACAGTACATGTACAGTGGGGGTATGCTATAACGAATGGATTCTACTACGAATATTCCTATAACGAACGGTTTTACCTATAAAATTGAGAATGCTATAACGAATGAAACTGTTACAATGAATTTTTTTTTTTTTTTTTTTTACTAATTTATTGTTTTTTTATTACAAGTATTAATGATATTCCTTATATCAGGGGTTTAGATGCATATTTATGCACTTTATTTTAAATTTTTACAATTTTATATTATATTTTTCAGTGTTAAGTGGTTGTATTTGGGGGCCTGGAACGGATTAATCCTATAACGAACGAATGCTATAACGAACAAGGTTCTAGAACCAATTAGATTCGTTATAGCATAGTCCACTGTACTGTAATTATTGGATGTTAGTGATTTTAAGATACTTTATTTAAGAACTGTTGTAAAGAGGACACATTGTAATGAATTAGTTTCCCTTGATACTATATTATGATGCTCATGTCTGGATATTTTAATCTGTATTTGTTAATTTTGTAAAACATAAGACCGTGTTTTAAGGAGAATATTAGTATATTGTGTGTTTTATGGGGTAGGAAAATATATGGAATTTTATTTGTGCAGGAAAGCTGTTTAAATAAATAATATATATTTTAATAAAGATATTAGGGTGCATTTTACTAAAGTCGTTATATTATACAGTTAAGGTATAGTGTCTCAGGCACCTGTCCAAGCTTTTTTAACAGTTACTGTATTTTGATATAAATAAAAAGAACATATTTTATGGACTTACAATATTTTATTAAACACACACACACATTGATAGATAGATAGATATGGTAACTGGGTCACCAGAGCTGTGCCCATCCCCTGGTCTCTGCTGCAATCTATTTGGGCTGCCGTGCCTAGACATCCTGCCAGTACTTGTACAGTGGTCTTTCGGTTAACGAGCGCCTCGGTTAACGAGATTTCGGTTAACGAGTTACCGTCCATAAGATTCTTAACTTCGGTTAACGAGCATTCCCTCGATTAACGAGTTTCTTACGAGCCGACCCCAACATGTTTTTGCTTGCATTTGGCGGTCCACCAGCTGTAGTATTAGTCCGCCAATACAGTAATCGGTTCTAGGGCTTATATTCCTTACCATTTTAGTAAATATCAAGAAGTTTACAGTATTCAATAATTTTAAAAGTTTAATATTAAATTTTTTAGTAATTTTAACAATTATTGAACATATTTGAAGGTAAAGAAACTAATTTCTGGCGCGCCATCCAGCCTGGCAACACACCAAACAGGCGTTAGTCTCTCTCTCTTTTCAGTGGAGGTAACACCTTGCTTGAGACTCTTCAACTAAATACTTTTTTTCTGTGTTTCCAAGCAAATTATTGGTCATTTTGAAATATATTTTACATATTGACAATATACAATGCAGTGCAGTGTTCATTTAAAGAAAATAATCATGAATTACACCAAAAGAACTAAAATTTTATGGGTGAAATGGCGCCATGGGGTGACCAATGCCTTCTCTTCTCCCTTCTCCTCCACCGCCATTCTAATTCCCATCATCGTCATCATCATCCAGAAGCCTTCTATATACACACCTCAAAGTAAGTGTACTTTTCTACCCTTTTTGTTGAATTTAGGCAATTTTCGGTGAGCTGGAACCAATTACCCAAAAACCCATTGAAACAATGGTTTCGGTTAACGAGTTTTCGGTTAACGAGCAACCTTCTAGAACGGATTATGCTCGTGAACCGAAGGACCACTGTACTTGGGTTTGTAGTTTCTAGTTTTACCCAACAGTTGTCGTCAGGTAACCCACAAGCATGGAAAACAGCCGTAAAATGTGATGATATTCCTGGCCAGAACATACAGTATGAGCTCCAACCAAACATCACTGGTTTTCTCAGGGTACTGTGCTCTGGTTTCCACCTGTTCCAACCCTAGACAGTCTAGGTCAGAGGTTGGGGAACGGGGGTAAATTACCCCAAATGGGGTAAATCTAAAAATTTTGGGGGTAATGCATGCGGTATGAGAGACACTTCCATCAGAGCCTCAGTTTACAACCAAGTTGCTGTGACATCAAAAATCCCTGATTTTGATGCTCTTGTATCACAAATGAAACAGCATCATTTTTCCAAAACCTAAATTGGAGATGATTTGAATGAAATTCTTCAGTTCTCCAATCCTTTTTACTAATTTTGTTTGTGTGCTACTCTTATGCCAGAATGTGTAGCCTTTTTTATTTCTCCTTGATAATGGATCCAATAAACATTTTTTTAATTTGAATTTTTTGTATATATATATATACCATATCCAACAATTTTAGGAGCAAATTGGCTTGTTTTTGTATTCTGTACTTTTGAAATCTGGGGGTAATTTCATTTTATTCAAAATTTTTTTTGGGTAATACCCAAAAAAGTTTCCCGACCCTTGGTCTAGGTCATAACAAAGTCGAGTCACTTATCTTTATGTATGTCTTGGGAATACAATCCCAGAATAATGAATGTAGACTGTACTCATCTTAGGTATACAGTCGACCCTCGTTAATTCGGACTAATAGGGGGGGAAGGGTGTCCGTTTTAGCCGATTGTCCGAATTAACCGATTTAGGGGTTAATATTGCATTATATTTCAAAGTCATTGTTTTCGTCACGATTTTATCCCATTTTCCACTGTAATACGTATGTAATTTCAGTAAAAATTTTACATTCCCGTGAATGTATTATATCAAGCACAGTATGAATAGAATATCATTGTAATATAACAGTATTTTAACCAAAAACTATTAAAAAACGAGTAACTTCTCTTGAACATTGGAAGGTTAGGTAAAATCTTTTGTTTTCGTCATGTATTTTATCCTATTTTACATTAAAATACAACACGTTTCAGCAAAACTACTATTTATATCCGAGAATATATTCATTCAGGCACAGTTAAGGTAAAATATACATGTGATGTAACAGTTTTTTAACTGAAAACGATTCGAAAAACACGTGTACCGTCTAGCTGATACTCAACAGCTGGTGGTGCGTCATGCGTCGTAAACAATAGGAGGTTGAAGTAGATTACCGGGTATTATATTAAGTGTGAAATATCGAAAAGGTTTTTATTACCGGTATTTTTTGTAGATCAATGAGAACCGTGATACCGTATATGATATGATAAGTTAGCCTGTGCTAAGAACTTCAACATAGACTACTGAAAACACGTATGGTAATTTAGCCTATTGTAAGTTGGTGAGCTTCATTTGCTGAAGGAACTGCACAACTTTTCATTACTAATTGGTACATATTTTTCGTTTCTATTGTTTACTGGTAGTAAATGGTAAATATTTTTCATGTCTGAAGCTAAAAGTGCATCCCCCCCCCCCACACTAGTGGTGGAGATGTTACATTTAACCAAAAAGACGCTGGTGGTTTATCCCAGCAGTGGGTGGACCAGCATTTTACCTTAAGGTCCGCGTAGGTAATATTCCTCCAAATCTAAAAAAAAAAAAAAACATATGTTCGTTCAGATTTTGTCCGAATTATCCGAAATCCGGATTAAAGGGGTCTGAATTAACGAGGGTCGACTGTATATATAGTACTGCATAAACTTTACTGTCAATTTCCCCTCCCTGATGGTTAACAACCTCAACCTAACCTAACTTAACTTAACTTAACTTATCCTAAGTTTGGATCTGGACCCCATTCATGTAATTGTCAATTAATTCTGGCTCATTTGGAAGCCCCCCCTGGACAGCTTGGGGGAGATGAGTGCCCCCTGCCTCCCCCTAAATGACACCCCTGCTCTAACTGCTTCCATTTTGGAGTTATGGGTGGGGGCAGGCACTCGCAGACATATCCTTATATTATAATAGTTAAAAAAAGAATGTGTCTGTGGCTATTTCAGCCATAGGACTAGAATGAAAGCAGTTAGAGACCTGAAACTTGACACACATGTTACATGGGTCCCAAAGTTATGCACCTTTGTAATACTATTTACCACAGACCCTGGGTGTGTCTGTTCCAGCCATAACTCCAAAACGGAATCAGTTAGAGATCTGACTTTACACACACATATTACATGGGTATTACTATTGACCATGGCCAAACTGTGAGTCTTCGTTATGATAGGTAAGGTTGCATTGGGTTTCATTAAGCTAAGTTGAGGTGGTTACCTGTGTCAGGGAGGGCAAAATGCGAATCAGGTTAGGTTAGGTTACAT